CCCCCATCCGAACCCCCGGACCAGAAGCAAAGGACGCGGGGGTGCCAGAGATGCAGTCTGAACACGCACCCTGTGCCCTCCTAGATCCCCCAGGCCTGGGGGGGGGCGGTCTCCCACACCATTTCAGCATAACAAAAAGCTGACATTTACTAGACACCTTTTGGGTTTCGGGGCTTCTGTGCTTGGGATCTTCGTGGACAGTATTTCATTTAATCCTCATGACAACTCAGAAAGGATCAAGTTACTGTCCTCCCCCTTTTACAGGACAAGACACTTAGGCACAGAGAGGTTAAGTTACATGCTTAGGGCCACACAGCAATGTGCAGCCGCCCGCGGGAGTGCAGCACGGGAAGAGGGGCTGAGGACGCCGTCTCCTCCCACCCTCAGCATCCGCACCCAAGCACAGCTAGCAGACAGTGATGAGAAAACCAGCGCCCGGTGGGAGGGCCCTCAGCTCCCAGGAAACGGCCACGTGCTGCCCCCCCCGCCCCAAAGTTCAGGCCCAGGAGCAACAAAACAAAAGCAAGACGGCCGGAGGGCTGGACCTGCTCTGGGGCCCGGAAAACACCACAGGGCCTTTGCACGGTTTCCCCCCACCGGACCTCTTCCCGGCTCAAAGGGGAAGGGGGTGCTTGGGAAGGGGGTGTATAAATGCCCAGGTAAATGCAAAGCGGGGGACTTGGGGTGGGGCCTGAGCGCTCCTCATTCAGGGACACTTCACCTGAACCCCGCATGGAATAATTTCGCTGGCCCCAGGACCAGGTCTCTGCTTGTAGGCTGCAGAGCGGGCACTGGCGTCCCTGGGAGGCCTGCCTGGAGGAGGCCAGGCTGGGAAGGTGGGAGGAGGCCAGGCTGGGAAGGTGGGAGGAGGCAGGTGGGAAGACGTCATTCAGAGGAGCTTGCCACTCTTTCGTGGTCTGGAGGCCCCTCTTTCTCCTCCAGCTCCAGCCCCCCGTTGCCCTCTGCTTCTCTCTCCTCCTCTCTCACGGTCCCCTCTTCCTTCTCTTTCTTGCTGTGGAGACAAGAAGGGTCCAGAAAACCTCACTTAATAAGGAGTTACACTGTCCAGGCCTCTTGCGATTCACCCAGAACCTCTGAGTCCTGCACTCTCATCGTTCCCATTGTGCGGAGGCCGTGCTGAGGCTCAGACAGGTTAGGACACCTGTCCTGTTTGAACAAGAAGGAAGTGCGGGGAGCTCATGCGTGAGCTACGGGAGCCTGAACCTGACTCTTCACATCTGGCCTTCCTGGCTTCCCGGGTCTCAGAACTGTGTGTGAGGGAACAGGCAGAGAGATGGGGAGATGGATCGATTGATGGGTGGCTCGGTGAATGAGTGGATGGGTGGACGGATGAACAGATGGACATGCAGACGGGGCTGGGGGGGAGGTGGACAGAGGCGCAGACAGTGGGATGGACACACAGAGGAATGGATGGACGGACGGAGGGAGGGATAAATGCGTGAGGCTTGAGGGGAGGTGATAAGGACTTCAGGGATCCCATCTGAAACACATATGAGCGATGGGGTCTCAGGGAAGCCACCTCGTTTTTCAGGTAGGGAGTCAGGAGGGAAGTCAGTGAGGTTATATGAGGCCCTATCAGTTCTGAATCAAAGAATTGCCCCCTGGCCCTGCCTCCTCCGAGGCTCAGAGAGGAGAGGGGAGGGAAGGGGCTCTGAGCCCCCAGTTCAGCAGGGGAGGGACTCACACAGGAGGGGGGCCTACCTGTCACGGGGCTGGCTGCACCAGATGGCATAGACCATGATGAGGACGAAGATGAGGAAGAGGGCGGCCAGTACGGCCCCGAGCCCCACCAGCCACGGCTTCCTCTGGGCCACTGCGGGCAGAGTGGGGCGGGGTCAGCGGCTGGGCCACCAGCTGGGGGCTCCCTTCCCACCCCCTCTCCCTGCGGAGGCCTTACAGGGTTGGGCCTGAACCGGCCGCGGGACCAGAGATGCCAGAAGGGAGACTGGGCCAGCAGTCATCCAGAATCTGTCCATCCTTGTCCGTCTGTCCTGGCCTCTTCCCAGCGGGGCCCAGGGTGCCACCCCATTAGAGGAGGAAGCGGCCCGCCCCGGACACCCCAGGGCAGGGTGTGGCCAGTGCCGCAGGAAGTAGGGGGGTGGGGCCCCCTTCCCTGGATTCTGGGTATGCTGGGGAGGGGTCCGGCGTCCCAGGCATCCCAGCACCCTGTCTCCCAGAGGCCCACCCTGGCCCCCTCACTCCCCACAGCCAGAGCCATGGGAGAGGCTCAGGAAAGGTGGGGAACGCGTTTCCTGAGCACCTACTATGCGTCAGGCCTTGCAATGGTTCTTAAGCCCCAGCACCTGCTTCAAGCTTCCTAACGCTTGTCCTCAGGTTGCAGATGAGGGACTACCTCCCCGGGGGGCCACACAGCATTCCAGAGGGACACCGTTCTCCCAGCTAGGAACCACAGCCAGCAACGGACACCCGGCGCTCCAACCCTCTCCCATCCTAGGACATTAACCTCCAAATCTGACCTTAGCCAGAGCCTACAAACTCCCTCATCGTTTGGGCAGCCTGGGCTTCATCCCAGCTCTGCCAAGAGCAACGCTCGAGACCTGGCCAGTGGCCATCTTTCTTTCTACGCCTCAGTATTTTCAGCTGGAAAATGGGACTACTTGTGTACTGATGGAGACTGAGGATTAAGATGCTGGGCGCTCCCTGGGAGCATCTATGAGGGCGTGTAGTACCTTGCTTTTATTTATTTATGTTTTTTCCACCCCCTGGTGGACGATCCTGGAAGTGTTCTAGCAGCCTTGGGGGTTACATCCTACCAACAACCCCAGCGACCCGCCCCAGAACCCAGCCCGAATGCCAGCCTTTATCAAGGTCCTTATTAAGAAATGGTTAATATCCAGGGCAAGGTCCAGGGCCTGGAGAAAATGAGGTGAAAGGAGTGGCTGGAGACTGGGAGGAGAAAGTACTTGTCCCTTCCCAGGGGGGCGCAGAGCCCCGGGGGCACACAGCCTCCCGGACACAGTTCCCCGGGAATGGAGTCATGTGAGCCTAGACGAGGGGTGGGGTAGCAAGGATTTCCCAGGATACGGCACTCTCGGGGCTCAAAGTCCAAGGCTCAGGGCAGCAAAATCAAGATTGCAGGGAGAGGGCTGAGTGTGCCCAGGGCATCTGGGCACGGTGCAGCCTGCTCTACCAGACCTGACCCCAACCCCAAAAGCTGCCTCCCCCACGGGGAAAACTGTGTCCCAAGAGACAACAGGAGCCCTTCTGAAGGGCTCTTATCAATTCTTTAATGCAGGTCTCCAAAAGGCAGCCCCTGCCCCACGTTGGTCCCCAGGCTGAGTAGGGGGGAGGGGAGGTTCTGGCCAACAGATATCAGGGAGAGGGAAAAGAAATCAGGCAGTGGGCAGAAGTAGGTGGAGCCATGAGATGGTGAGGGCTTGGGGGTTTCTCCACAACCAAGAACGCGCTCCCAGTGCAAGAAGAATCACTAGGCAGTCAAGTCAGGAAGGGGGGTGCATAAAGCGCACGCACGCAGCACACAGAGCCCCCCTGGGGGGCAGGGCAAGTCCCACCCCTCTTCATTCAGTATTCGCAGCTCTACATGCAGTTATTACGGTGGCTTCATGTCCAGATCATCGCTTACACGATGTGAAAGGGGCATCTCGGGGCGGCTCCTGGAGGAAGTCGGTGTCGAGTCCTCACATGGCTGTGCTCATGACTTTCCCATCACCTCTGGACTCCTCTTTCTCCTCCAGCTCCAGCCCCAAGTTTCTCTCTCCTTCTTTCTCAGCCTTCTTGCCCTTCTTGTCCTTTATCTCCCCTTTCCTCTCCCTCTTGCCTTCTTCACTGTAGGGATACAAAGGGCCCAGACCACAGTGAGAAACAGTCTCATTTAACTGACACATACCTGTGCCAGGTGTTCTACACCTTTGTTGAATTCTCAAACAGTCCTCATGAGGAAGCCTTGCTATTTCCATTTCACAAAGGCAGACACTAAGACTCAACCATCCCATGGATGGACAGGTGGATGGAGAATGGATGGATGGACGATGGATGGATGGATGGGAGGATGGATGAATAGGTAGATAAGTAGAGAGGTGAATAGAAGCTTGCATGGATGGATGAATAGGTAGTGTAGTAGGTGAATAGATTAATTAGAAGAAGGAAAGAATGATGGGTCAATGGATGGATGGATAGGAGTGTAGATGGGTGGATGGGTAGATAGCTCACTGGGCTGATGAGTGGGGGAAATGGGTGGGTGGATGGATGGGTGGGTGAGAAGGTAGATGGGTGGGTAAGGGAATGAATGGATGGATGGTTGGATAGATGATGGGCAGATAAGTGGTTAGGTGAATGGATAGCTTCACGGAGAGATGAATAAATGAATGGGAAGATGAGTGAGGGAACAGGAGGGAAAAGAGAATGACAGATCAATGGATGGGAGTATAAATGGTTGGATGGATGGCAGTGTAGACAGGTGGATGGATGAATGGATTAATGGGTTACTGGGTAGGGAGATTGATGGATGAATGATAGATGGTTGGAAAGTGAAGTGTGGGTAGGCGGATGGATGGATGGATGGATGGATGGATGGATGGATGGATGGGTGGATGGATGGATGGGTGGATGGATGGGTGGATGGATGGATGGGTGGGTGTATGGATAGATGGATGGATGGAGGGATGAACAAAGCAGGGAGAAAACTACCAACATGGGAGTCCAGGAGAGTCACCCACCCGATCACATGCTCATGCACAGAACCCTACACAATCCCACACCACGGTCTTGTTCAACAGACCTACTGTGCTCCAGGCCCCGTGCTGAGCACTGGGAACACAGCCAGGACCAAAGCTAAGTTCTCTTGTCTATTGAAAGCTACCAGCTAGCGTGGAGAAAGGGGCAAATGACTAAGATCATTTCAGCTGGTGATAAGTGCAAAGAAGAATGCACAGTTGGGGGACATAGAGTGTCAGGAAGGCTGGTGGTCAGGGTGGGCTTCTGTGAGGAGGAAATATCTGAGCCAGGACTGAAGGAGGAGCCAGCCAGAAGATACAGGAAAGGGTGTTCCAATCAGCGAGAACAGTATGTGCAAAGGCCCCGGGGCAGGAATGTGCTTGAAGAGTTGAAGAGCAGAAAGGGGTCATCTGTGCACACCCATCCCTCCCCACACCCAGAGGGGGCTCCCACAAAACCCCTGACCCCGCACACACCCACACATGCTCACACGAGCAGTACCTCAGGGCCACGTCCTGATACGGGTTGGACTCCATTTTGAATGCGGACTCCTCGTCCTCAGCTCTGCGGGAGAGATAGAGATAGAGGGGTGAAGGTGGGTGAAGGGCAGGAGGTAGCCTTCACAGTCTCCCCTGGCTGGGGCTCATGAACTGCGCCAAGCCAGGCAGATGGGCGGCATGGTTGTCCCGGACTGAGAGGCTGTGAGGTGGCGGGGATGGGGGGGGGGGTCTGAGCTGGAACAGGGAAACAGGGAGATGGCGGAGGCGGGGGAAGGACCAGAGAGAGTCAGGAGCGGGAGGGGTGCCCAACACTTTGGGGAGAGGAGGAGGACAGGGACAGCGGCTGTGGGGAGTGGGGAGAGGGGCTCCCACCTCGTACTGGAGCACCAGACGTGGTTGACCAGCATGAGGATGAAGACGATAAACAGGAATCCCACGACGGCAGCCAGGCCCACCAGCCAGGGCTTCAGGCGATACTGCAAGGCTGTCCGAAGGTGGGGCAGGTGGGACTCAGAGATGGGGCAGGGCTGGGGCCTGCCCCCGAAAGGGAAGAGGGGAAGGCTGCTGGGGGATGCTCAAGCCAATGGGGTCTCGGAAAGGGGCCGGGCGTCAGAGACCAGTTCTAGAGAAGGGGAGGGGGCTAGGTGCATCTCAGGGATGGGAGAGAGGCCCAGAGGGAGTGTGGGGGCTGGGGGGCTCCAAGAGGGTCCTGACCCCATTCCTCCTCTGCCTGCCCCCTCCTTTCAGAGGTCTCGGTTCCTCATCATGAAAAATGGGGAGATGGTGAGCCTATGAATGAGCCCCTCCCACGACCCCTCCCCCCCGCCTCTGCCCACCCCCCACCCCAGGTCCAGGTCGGAGCCCTACCCTGTTGAGCCTCTGCAGGTGACAGGAGCAGGGCGCTGAGCAGGAGAAGGGTCTCCAGGGTCTCCATGGTCGTGGAAGAGCCAGCAGCCGTGCAGTCAAGGTTAGCTGGGTGAGGCCCTGCCCAGCCCCTGATATGGTGGCAGGCGGGCCTAGGGGCGGGGCTGGTCCAGACCCGGAGGTCAGACTCTGGACCTGGTATAACAATTAACGCGGGGAGTCCAGCCCCCCCACCCTGTGCCCTACCCCAGGACCCAGCCTCCAGGTCCCCCAGGCTCCGTGCCGCAGTGGCCAGGCCGAGATGGGCCTGGGCTCAGGGCTGCCAGGCATCATTGTGTCTCCTTCTCTGAACACCCCACAAAATGTTTCTGTCTCCATTTTCAGAGAAGCCCAAGGAGGCCAGGAGCACAGAGGTCACGCAGAAATAGCTGGAGCCGGGATCTGAGCCCAGATCTCCCCCACCACTGGCTTAAACTGCCTCATCCTGGCTCCCAGACCCCTGGGGACCCACACCCAATACTGGGATGAGCACAGGGACAAGAAGTGATGGGCCACGTGGCCCACTATCCATCTCCAAACCCAGGCATGCCCTGATGGCCGGAGAATGGGACGCCCAGGTAGCGGATGACTCAGGCTGCAGGCTCTCCTGTCCATCAACCTTGGTCCCTGGCTGATTAGATAGGGAGCCCTGCCCAGGAGAAGGAGCACCTCACCCCAGCTGCCACTGGACAGCCACAGCCCAGGCATGTGGCAGGAAGCCCCGACCGGGGGGCGGGGGGCTCTGCAGGGCCCTTGGGGGCTGGGGGGGGTACGAGTGTCACTGCACACATCTTTAAGGAGCACCCATGCATCCCTGGGGCCTCCTGCCTCCCTGAGGTCTATCATCACTGCGCAAGGGGCCATCCAGTAGAGTGATGGAGCTCAGGCACCTGCTCAGAGCGAGCCCATCTCAACCACCCGAGTGGTGCCTACGAAGCTCCTACCGTGTGCCCTGTCTGTGCCAAGCTCAGAAGGGAGGGAGGAAGCCTCAGACACTGTCCTCTGGGAGTTCTCAGGTTAGCTGGGAAGTCAGGACCCCCAGAAACCAACATATCTGGTGGGCAGAGCAGCAGAGCTGGGGAGGAGGTGGGGGGTGGGGTTGGAGCAGATTCGGGAGAGCAGGGCCAGAAGCCCGCCTTGGGGCTTCTGCGTTCGAAGGCAGGTCACGGAACTGGCCTCTTGCTGCAAAAAGTTCTCTCTGCTCCAAGCAAGTCATTTCCGGGCTTTGTGCCTCCATGTTCCCATGTGTTAAATGGGGGTGAAAAGTCCTGGCCTGTGAGGATTAAATGAAGTAATACGTGGAAAAGGCTCACTGAGCACAACAGCAGGGACACACTAAGCACTCAGTAAGGGTTAGCCACCATTGTTACTCTTCGAAAAACTCTTCTTGGTGGAGGTTGGGCAGAATCAGGCTCTGGGGCTACGGGGGGAGCAGGAGTGTGGAAAGTGCCAGTGACCAACCACTGGAACCTGCCAGCCAAGAAAGAGAACATTCTCTGCCAAGACGGGGCAGATCAGTGGAGCAAGGGATCCAGCGTGCACAAGTCTGGTCTACACAACTGCCAAAGGGGTTCAAACCCAGGTACCGGGCCAGAGGGCAGGGCCCGGCTCAGTCCAGCCTCCAGAAGGAGCTTCGAGCAGGTGGGTCCTTGAAGGCAATGGAAGGGCGGCGGGGAGCCGGGGCGGGGGCTTCTGCAGGGGCTGCGTCGCCACCCCCGCCAGGGTCCTCATCACCCCGCCAGGCCAGGGCCAGCTGCAGGTCCAGCTCTTCCAGATCCTCACCCTCCAGGCTCGAGCGCAGTTCCCGAGGGGCGTCTTCCTGCTCTGGCTTCGGGCCGAAGGCCCAGTCTGCAGTAGGACGCTGGTGAGGAGCCTCCCGGGGCCTCATCCACCCTCTGTCCCCTCCCTGGCTGCGAGAGGCCCTTGCATCCCGCCCCCCCCACCCCCCGGCCCCGAGCGGCCCAGCACTGTCCCAAGCAGGGCTCGTGGTGGGTAGCAGCTCACCGGCCAGGTCATGGGCGAGGTCCTTGATGAGATGACCCACAATGGCATATGCCACGGCCACCACCAGAAGTGCCGCCAGCAGCAGGTACAGCGCATACCTGGGCAGGCGGATGGCATCCAGGGGTGGTGGGCGGTACTCCTCATACAACGGTGGGGCCGGGCTCCAGCCCTCCATCCCCTGCTCGACTGCCAGCCCTGGCATGATGGCCACCTGGGGCAGGAGAGGCCCGGAGGTGACCTGCGTGGCGGAAGTATTCAGGGGCTTTGGGTAAGAGGATTGGGGCTCCTCCAAGGCTACCATCTGCCTGGATTAATCACTTCCGCCCAGCGGCCCCCCTCCCTCATTCAGCTCCAGCTGACGAGGCCGGTACTCTGCACGTCCTTCCCCCACCTCAGGGCCTTTGCTCGAGCTGTTCCCTCTTCTGGGAACATCCCTGCCTTCATGGAGCTGACATTCAAGATAGGGGGATACACTGAGAAAAACATAACCTTGAGTGAGTGATGTATTGAGTTAGAAAGTGAAGAGTGGCATTGGGGTGGCTCAGTCAGTTGAGCATCCGACTCTTGATTTCAGCTCAGGTCATGATCACGAGTCATGGGATAGAGTCTGAAGTCGGGTTCCGTGCTCAGCAGGGAGTCTACTTCTCTCCCTCTCTCTCTCTCCCTCTCCCTCTGCCCCTCCCCAGCACCCTGCTTACGCATGTGTGTGTGCATGTATGTGCACGCGCACTCTCTTTCTCTCTAACATAAATAAATAAAATCTAAAAAGAAAAAAGAAGAGTGGTATTGGGGTGGAGGTACCATGGTTGGGACTACTAAGAAGGGAGTTGAAGCTTAAACTAGGGTAGCCAAGGCCATATGAAGATGCATGTGAGCAGACCCAGAGGAGGAAGAGAAGCATGTATGGGACTACCAGGCGGAAGAGCAGTCCATACAGAGTGCACAACACATGCAAAGGCCCTGGGGAAGGACTGGGCCTGGCGTGTTGGAGAAGAGCAAGGAGGCCTGTGTACCTGGAGCAGAGTGAGCAACAAGGTGATGGGGAGGAGGGAAGGATAGGGAGGGCGCCCCCCCTACCCCGCAAGTCATGCCGGGCCTTGGGGGTCAGGGGAGAATTTGATCTTTCACCCTGAGGGAGGTGGGAGCCCTGGAGGGCTGTGGGCAGAGGAGGGCGGGGCCTGGCTCAGTTGCCCACAGGTGGCCTCTGGTGGCCGCTGCGGAGAGGACAGACGCTGAGGGGTGAGGACAGCCGCCAGGAAGGCAGGCTGAAAGGGACTGCGGTGGTGCGGGTGAATGATAAGGGGGGCTGGAGGCCCCCCGGAGGCAGAAGAGGGTCTGCACGTCACCGTTTTTTCCAATATTTTTTTTCCTTGCCTTTACAAATACTGTTGCAACCAATTTTGCACGTTCCAAAGGTAAAACACTTTTCATATGTGTTTCCCTGGTTAGAACACTTCAGGCTTCTCACTGCGTCAGAGTAAACCCAAGTCCTTCTTCTGTCTGGGTGGCTCTCCCGCAACCATCCCCGCGGCTCCTTCCCGTACCTGCCAGGTGTTTACTCAGACGTCACCACCTGAGCCTCTGGCCACTCCTCCTAAGACTTTGCACCGCCCTTGAACTATGCTGCTTAACCAGTGTCACCACCTACCACGTATTTTACTTATTTATTTCTTGTCTGTCTCCCTCAGACAACCAGGCTCTGAGGTTTTCGAGGGTAGGGATCGCAGGCTGTCTTGTCCTCGGCCCCCATTAACTATTTGGGTTTTTTTGCTTTTTTTTAAGATTTTATTTATTTGACAGAGAGAAAGGCAGCGAAAGAGGGAACACAAGCAGGGGGAGCGGGAGAGGGAGAAGCAGGCTTCCTGCGGAGCAGGGAGCCCGATGCAGGGCTCGATCGCAGGACCCTGAGATCATGACCTGAGCCGAAGGCAGACGCTTAACGACTGAGCCACCCAGGCGCCCCCCCATGAACTATTTGTTAAGTGAACGAGGACTGAACGACTCGATCGGGTCCGAAGAAAGGACTAGACCCCTCCCTTCCCCAGCTCAAGGCCAGCCACCTGACGCCATTGGCCACGCCCCCCAGGACTTGACCACGCCCCAGGAGCACGGCGCCTGCTCCGTCGCTCCCCCGGCTCCGGCCAGAATCGGCACAAACCATTTCCACTTATCGAACTGGGTGGGGAAGCCGAAGAGAATGTCTTCCGCGGAAAGAGTGGACGTTGTCCTTCCCTTCCCTGAGGGATGTCCTTAGACTCCATCTGCTGTGTGAGTGTGAGCTGGCACCGATGCCGACCGTGCTTCCAGACCTCTCTCCTGCCGCGGAGACTTTGACTGGAACCCCCCCCAGCGCCGCGTTGGTGCCTTCCGGCCCGGTCACGTGGGCGAGAAGATGGCGGCCCCCAGAGCGTGCCGCGAGCGTCGGGGTTGGTGAAACGCTGGTGGCCGCTGTGGGCGCGGGTGGGATCGGCGGCCTCGTCTTCCCGGAGCTCGTTTGGGCGTTTCGGCTGCAGGTAGCACGGTGCGTGGCCCGGTCCTGGCGGGCGGGCACGGCGGGGAACGCCTCGTGGGGAGGTCCCGTCTCTAGGATTCGTTAGTTGGGGGTCGAGGGGCCTCCTCCTGAGGGGTTTCGAGTCCCGGCGAGCTCTTTCCCCAGGTTCTGGGGACCCTGTCGCCGGGGACTGGATTCCCAGGTTGTGGGACCCTGGGAGCCGGCGCGTGTGGGGGAGGGGGTCCCATATTGGGCGATCCCTTTCTCGAGTTTCGGGAGAACCAACGGTATGAGGGATCCAGTACTTGGGCACCCGCGTAGACAGATCTTGACGCTTCCGGTTCTTCGGGTTCTCTTCCAACGGGTGGGGTCTTGCGAGCAGCCCTGAGGGAATCCCCTGTTGGGAAGACCCCTTTCCGGGGGAGAGTTGGTTACCAGAGGTGTTTTTGTTGGGAATTCTTGGTTTAGAGAGGTCTCGGGTGGGGGCGAGAGGTCGAGGAGCCTGGTCTCCTTTTTCTCCGTCCCTTACTAGTTCATCAAGAGGCTTTCGCAGGGGTGAGCAGATTCCCAGATTCTGCTTTGGTTGGGGGCTGATCCCCTCAACCCCACGCCCACACCCTTGCCCTGCTTCCCACTGAAGAATGGGTTGAAGGTAGGAGCTGTGGGCTTCCAGGAGGCTAGGTGCGCCCTCCTGAGTACAGAGAGGTGGGTTTGGGGCTCCCTGCAGGAATATTTAATGCTAGCTCTGGTTTGTCAAATGCGTGTAAGGTGCTCCATGAACACGCCATCTTCTTCTTCTTCTTTTTTTTTTTTAAGATTTTATTTTTAAGTAATCTCTACACCCAATGTGGGGCTCAAACTAACAACCTTGAGATCAAGAGTAGAATGCTCCACCGATTGAGCCAGCCAGGCGCCCCTCCACGAGCACACCTTCATTTGCAGTAACTGTGAGGTCCACGTGCCCCTCCACCCATTTTACGAATGATACAGATTTAAACTGTGTATGAAGAGCTTAGTACCATGGTTGGTGTGCAGAGGGTGTTCAGTTCACTCAAATACGGATTGGGCACCTCCTGCCATGGTGACCGATCCCATGCTAGGCCTTGGGGACCCAGCAGTGAACAAAGTAATATAGATACCTGTGTGTGTGTGTACACATATGTGTGTGTAATAGATTTCTCTTTATTTTTTTAACAGATTTTATTTATTTGACAGAGAGAGTGCACATGCACTAGCAGGGGGAGTGGGAGAGGGAGAAACAGACTCCCCGCTGAGCAGGGACCCCCCCCCCCCCGATGCGGGACTCGATCCCAGACCCTGGGATCAAGACCTGAGCCGGAGGCAGAAGCTTAACTGAGCCACTTAGGCGCCCCCAGGTTTCTTTATATATATATATATATATACACACACACACACACACGCACACACACACACACACACATATATATACACATGAAGTCCTGCCCTCCCGGCCCTTACTTTCTATAGTAAGAAACTGATCCGTGAAATACACTGGACACCAGGTGCTGTTAGATGCTGCGTGGATCACTGAAGCCGCCATAATGGGAGTGCAGGGTACGGAGGGTTTGCATGGCTACATCCGGGTGCTCAGAGAGTTCCTGCCTGCACATTGAGTGTCTGAACAGAGACTAGAAGGAAACCCGACTTGTGAGCTATTAATAGTTTTATTCCAAATGCAGAAACCAAGCCCAGAGACTTTTGCCCAAGTTCAAGTCTTGCCCTGGAGATCTGCAGCGTATTTTCTCCTCACGCTCCTCTCCCGTAGCGGGAGCTGCCTTGTTGGCCAGATTTCCCCTCACTCCCAGGAATTTAAGGACTCTGGGGATGAGTAGGCGATGAAGGGCCTTTTCCGGGTGTCTTGAGGACGACCCTGCAGAGCCTGGGAGTCAGGACTCCCGGGTCCTGTTTGCCCTTGGCTTGCTGTGTGAGCCCACACGAGTTGCTGCCCATCCCTGTAGCAGAGTCAGAGCTCAGGGCCCCTAACGCCTTGCCAGCTCCCTCACTCCTGGCTTCTGTGGTTTCTGGTTCTCCCTCCCCCGATGGTCACCCCTGCTCAGGCAGCTGCGCCTCCCTCATGAAGCCCAGTGAGCTCTGCTGACGCCACAGCACGCTTTACGAGGCGTCCGCCAGGTCTTCACTGGTCCAGAGGACAGAGATGGAGCCCCGCCTCCCAGCCTAGGCTGTGTCATTTCGTCTCAGTCCATCCACTCAACACAGCATTTGTGGTTTAGAGCTTGACTCTGGAGCCCAGCTCCCTGGATTTATAACTCCTCACACTGTTCATAAGCAAGTTATTAACCTGTGTGTCTGCTTTCTCGCCTCTAAAAGGGTGACAAGCCTGGTGCCCATCTCATATGTTTGTGGGGAAAGGTAAATGAGTCCGTGAGTGTGAGGGGCTTAGCAGAGGGGCCTGGCACATAGTATGTCCTCTGTAAATGTCAGCTGCTGTTACTGGTAGGGCTGTTTTTACTGAAGGCTTACGGACTGCTGGGAGTATGGTGGTGACTAAGAGAGACTCGGTCCCTGCCTTCAGAGTTCTGATGAGGGATAAGACCGACCATAGGCAGCTAAACTGGTAAACGTCCTATATGATATCTTGTGGTGGTAAGTGCTTTGAAGAAAAGTAGAACAAGGGAAAAGAGTGAGTAACCGTGACAACTGTGATCAGGGAAGGCTGCCCTGAGAAGGTGACATTTGAGACCCAAGAAAGTGAGAGGGTGAGCATGGGAGGCATTTGGGGAAGAGTGTTCCTGAGGAAGAGAACGACCCATGCAAAGGTCCTGGGGTAGGACTGGGCCTGGTGTGTTGGAGGAAGAGCCAGGAGGCCCGTGTGGCTGAAGCAGAGTGAGCGAGGGGGAGGAGGGGAGGGCTGGCAGGGGTGGGGGCAGGTCACACAGAGCCTTTGGGACTGTGAGGGAGTTTGAAATAACGAGGTGCCATAGGAGGATTAGGCAGGGGTCCGGTTTACATGCTGAAAGGATTTGCGCCCCAGTTACCTGTCCTGTAAATCACCCCACACTTAGCAGCTTTGAGAGCAGCAAACACTGTCTCCCACGGTTTGTGTGGACTGGGGATCTGGGCCCTGTAGCTAGGTGCTTCCGGCTCTGATCTCTCCTGAGGTCGCAGTGGGGACATCGGCCGGGGCTGCTTCAGCTGAAGGCTGGACCGGGGCTGGAGGAGCTGCTCTCAGCTTCCTGCTCGTGCTGCTTCTCCTCACTCGTAAATGAACAAATCCGTGAGCGGATGAAAAACACCGCTCACCTGGGCTCTCGGTTTTCCGCCTGTAGGTTCTTGTGCCCGGGAGGCCCTGGTTTCAGCGCAGGTGAGGCTGTGGAAGGCCTGGGCCCGTGGGCAGGAGGCAGCCGGCGGCGCCATGGTGACAGAGCAGGAGGTGGAGGCAATTGGGCAGACGCTGGTGGACCCCCAGCAGCCCCTGCAGGCCCGCTTCCGGGCGCTCTTCACCCTCCGCGGGCTCGGTGGTCCCGGAGCCATCACCTGGATCAGCCGGGCCTTTGGCGACGACTCTGCCCTGCTCAAGCACGAGCTGGCCTACTGCCTGGGCCAGATGCAGGACTCCCGGGCCATCCCTGTGCTGTTGGACGTGCTCCGTGACACCCACCAGGAGCCCATGGTGCGCCACGAGGCGGGTGAGTGGCCGGGGGGGATGCCTGACCTCCACACACACTGCCCCCCCAATCCCGTCTGCCTCACATGCCCCCTCTCCCTCCCGCGTGTTCTAGCAGGGCTTGGCAGGCTTTACCTATAAAGGGCAGGTGGTAAGATGTTCAGCCCCGTGGGCCAGACAGTCCCTGTTGCCAAGACGCAACTCTGCCCTCGTGATTAAAAGCAGCCGCGGTAAACTACCCTCCACGTGCTGGTGGGACTTTATGGGCGCTCACATTTGAATTCCACGTAAGTTTCACACGTCAGGAAATATCATCCGTTGGATTTTTTTTAAGATTTTTTTTTTTTTAAAGATTTTATTTATTTATTTGAGACAGAATGAGAGAGAGAGAGAGAGCACATGAGAGGGGGGAGGGTCAGAGGGAGAAGC